ACGAATACGTGTGCCAAGTACAATGTTTGCAGTGAAACACTTCTTGCCACCTTAACCCTTTTTTTGGCACTTCTTGGCACCCTAAACCTTTTGTAGCACTTCTTTGCACCCAAACACTTTTGTGGCATTTCTTGGCACCCTAATATTTTGTGGCATTTCTTGGCACCCTACTATTTTGTGGCATTTCTTGGCACCCTACCCTTTTGTAGTACTTCTTGGCACCTTAACCCTAACCCTTTGTGGCAGTTCTTGGCACCCAAACCCTTTTGTGGCCCTTCTTGGCACCCTTACCCTAACTCTTTGTGGCACTTCTTTGTACCCTCAAACTTTTGTGGCACTTCTTTGCACCCTAACCCTTTTGTAGCACTTCTTGGCACCCCTAACCATAACCCTTTTGTGGCACTTCTTGGCACCCCTAACCATAACCCTTCTGTGGCACTTCTTGGCACCCCTAACCCTAACCCTTCTGTGGCACTTCTTGGCACCCCTAACCCTAACCCTTCTGTGGCACTTCTTGGCACCCCTAACCCTAACCCTTCTGTGGCACTTCTTGGCACCCCTAACCCTAACCCTTCTGTGGCACTTCTTGGCACCCCTAACCCTAACCCTTCTGTGGCACTTCTTGGCACCCCTAACCCTAACCCTTCTGTGGCACTTCTTGGCACCCCTAACCCTAACCCTTCTGTGGCACTTCTTGGCACCCCTAACCCTAACCCTTCTGTGGCACTTCTTGGCACCCCTAACCCTAACCCTTCTGTGGCACTTCTTGGCACCCCTAACCCTAACCCTTCTGTGGCACTTCTTGGCACCCCTAACCCTAACCCTTCTGTGGCACTTCTTGGCACCCCTAACCCTAACCCTTCTGTGGCACTTCTTGGCACCCCTAACCCTAACCCTTCTGTGGCACTTCTTGGCACCCCTAACCCTAACCCTTCTGTGGCACTTCTTGGCACCCCTAACCCTAACCCTTCTGTGGCACTTCTTGGCACCCCTAACCCTAACCCTTCTGTGGCACTTCTTGGCACCCCTAACCCTAACCCTTCTGTGGCACTTCTTGGCACCCCTAACCCTAACCCTTCTGTGGCACTTCTTGGCACCCCTAACCCTAACCCTTCTGTGGCACTTCTTGGCACCCCTAACCCTAACCCTTCTGTGGCACTTCTTGGCACCCCTAACCCTAACCCTTCTGTGGCACTTCTTGGCACCCCTAACCCTAACCCTTCTGTGGCACTTCTTGGCACCCCTAACCCTAACCCTTCTGTGGCACTTCTTGGCACCCCTAACCCTAACCCTTCTGTGGCACTTCTTGGCACCCCTAACCCTAACCCTTCTGTGGCACTTCTTGGCACCCC